TCTCCTGTTGAGTTCGTAGGTGTTCAGAATGGTTTGATCCCTATCTAGCTGAATTCCTGGGACCAGACGAAATTTAGGTCTCCTATTCCTCTGCCATCTTGCTCCTCCTCCCATATTACTATTTTTGATATATAAACCAAAAATGCCAGAATTTAGCAATAGTTTCAAAGAGTTGAATAGCAAAGCAATTTTCCATATAGATATAAAAAATCCATTATTACCTTCATTCTACTTTCTTATATAGTTCAATGAACTATAGAAAGCAAAGTAATATAAATTTTTTTAAAATTATTTGTGTAGCTTTTAAAAGAAAAGGCCCTCCTAATAGACAACATGCAGTCTTTCAAACTGACTTCCAAATATGGAAGATATGGAATTACTTCTGCAAACACAAAAAGGGAGTTTTGCATTTATGGTGATGGGCATTTAAGGACCCACCACTAGGCTGCCTTTGTAAACTTAACTCTGGCATTTAGATGAGAAATGTGCCTATATGGAACATTTTCATTCATTGCAAAGATGTACCTTGAGATCCTCCTATGCCACATAGAGAACAGATTAATGTCATGACTTTTGTATGTTGAAGACAGCAAAGTAATTGGGAGCCCAGGTAACTCTCTAGAGCATTATCCTCCATGTGGTGACTGAGCAATCAAGGCCACTTACATCTGAATCTGCCATCTCAACACATAGCATCTTTTGTTGTCATGATGATGAAAGAGCCCACTAGAAGGTCTCCTCCCAGTGGCAGTTAAATGCTTTGACACCTGGTAAATCTGCTCATAATCCAGAGGCCAGAACAAGTCACATGGCTCCATCAAAACTGAAAAAGGACTCATGGACTATTTAGCAAGCGTGACTGTCCTCATCACAGACATTATAAGGTCACTTACCACCTAATTGTGTTGTTTTCCTAGTTTTTGTCATGGCTGTTATGAAAATCTAGGTGCTCAAGAAAAATTTTCTAAAGTTAATTTTTATTATAAAAGTTGAGTTGTATTCCCACTGGTGGGTGGGTTCTAGAAGCAAATAAGTTGAGGAGTTTTAGTGAAGATTAAGAACAAGGTGGTAATCAGTCCTCATCAAAGTGCAAGTAGTTTGCTTTCCTTTAGCAACGATTTCGGCATTTCCCAGATAGATAATTTTCTTCTCTTGTCTCCTGAATCCCAGAAGTAGCTGCCATTTCTAAAGATCTTTTTTTTCTTAGGCTTACATTTATGCATCTATAATTTTATTCTCTTTGTTTGAATCTAATAGAACTGTTTATGTCATACACAGTTGACATGTTCAACTTGCTTCATTTAAATTATACAACTTTAGGACTTTGCACACTGAAGGCACTCAAAAAATGTATATAGAAAACTAAGTATAAGGGTTCCCTTTCTCCGCATCCTCACCAACATCTGTCATTTCCTGACTTTTAGCCATTCTGACTGGTGTGAGGTGGCATCTATCTCATTGAGGTTTTGATTTGGATTTCCGTGATGCTGAGCGATGTTGAGCACTTTTTCATGTGTCTGTTGGCCATTTGGATGTCTTCTTTGGAAAAATGTCTGTTCATGTCTTCTGCCCATTTCTTGATTGGATCAGTTGTTCTTTGGGTGTTGAGTTTGATAAGTTCTTTATAGATTTTGGATACTAGCCCTTTATCCGATATGTCATTTGCAAATATCTTCTCCCATTCTGTCGGTTGTCTTTTGGTTTTGTTGACTGTTTCCTTTGCTTTGCAAAAGCTTTTTATCTTGATGAAGTCTCAAGAGTTCATTTTTGCCCTTGCTTCCCTTGCCTTTGGCAATGTTTCTAGGAAGAAGTTGCTGCAGCTGAGGTCGAAGAGGTTGCTGCCTATGTTCTCCTCTAGGATTTTGATGGACTCCTGTCTCACATTTAGGTCTTTCATCCATTTTGAGTCTATTTTTGTGTGTGGTGTAAGGAAATGGTCCAGTTTCATTCTTCCGCATGTGGCTGTCCACTTTTCCCAACATCATTTGTTGATACTTTTTTCCACTGGACATTCTTTCCTGCCTTTGTCGAAGATTAGTTGACCGTAGAGTTGAGGGTCCATTTCTGGGCTCTCTATTCTGTTCCATTGATCTGTGCATCTGTTTTTGTGACAGTACCATACTGTCTTGATCACTACAACTTTTAATAGAGCTTGAAGGCTGGAATTGTGATGCCACCAGCTTTACTTTTCTTTTGCAACATTCCTCTGGCTCTTCGGGTCTTTTCTGGTTCCATACAAATTTTAGGATTATTTGTGCCATTTCTTTGAAAAAGGTGGATGGTATTTTGATAGGGATTGCATTAAATGTGTAGATTGCTCTAGGTAGCATTGACATCTTCACAATATTTGTTCTTCCAATCCATGAGCATGGAACATTTTTCCATTTCTTTGTGTCTTCCTCAGTTTCTTTCATGAGTATTTTATAGTTTTCTGAGTACAGATTCTTTGCCTCTTTGGTTAGATTTATTCCTAGGTATCTTACGGTTTTGGGTACAATTGTAAATGGGATCAACTCCTTAATTCCTCTTTCTTCTGTCTTGTTGTTGGTGTATAGAAATGCAACTGATTTCTGTGCATTGATTTTATATCCTGCCACTTAACAGAATTCCTGTATGAGTTCTAGCAGTTTCGGGGTGGAGTCTTTTGGGTTTTCCACATAAAGTATCATACCATCTACAAAGAGTGAGAGTTTGACTTCTTCTTTGCCGATTTGGATGCCTTTTATGTCTTTTTGTTGTCTGGTTGCTGTGGCTAGGACTTCTAGAACTATGTTGAATAGCAGTGGTGATAGTCGACATCCCTGCTGTGTTCCTGACCTTAGGGGAAAAGCTCTCAGTTTTTCCACATTGAGAATGATATTCGCTGTGGGTTTTTCATAGATGGCTTTTATTATTTTTTTTTAAATTTTTTTAAAGATTTTATTTATTTATTCATGAGAGACAGAGAAAGAGAGAGAGAGAGAGGCAGAGGGAGAAGCAGGCTCCCAAGGAGCAGGGAGCCCGATGTGGGACTCGATTCCAGGACCCTGGGATCATGACCTGAGCCGAAGGCAGATGCTTAACCATCTGAGCCACCCAGGCGCTCCATAGATGGCTTTTATGATATTGAGGTATGTGCCCTCTATCCCTTCACTGAAGAGTTTTAATCTAGAAAGGATGCTATATTTTGTCAAATATATGTACAAAAATAAGGGTAAATATGATGAAGGGATGGAATATGACTGTAAAGATGAAAATTAGAAAAGATTTTATAAAAGGAATTGATAAGATAAGAAGTTGGCTGAAAAAAGAAAGAAGAGAAATTAAAAAAAAAAAAAGCGAGAGAATGTGATCAGGCAGGAGACTAGAACAAAGCCATACACTAGAGATTTAGGGTTTATTTTGGTCTGTTAGAAGAAACTGTATCCCAAAATTTTAAAGAGAGAACAACTTAAATATATACAAAAAATAAGGTTAACTACAATGAAGGGATAGAATATGACTCTAAAAATGAAAAATAAAAAAGGTTTTTTAAAAAAGATGTCCATCAACAGATGAATGGATAAAGAAGATGTGGTATGTATACACACACACACACACACACACACACACACACACAATGGAATATTATGCAGCCATCAAAAATACCCACGAAATCTTGCCATTTGCAACCACATGGATGGAACTGGAGGGTATTGTGCTAAGCGAAATAAGTCAATCAGAGAAAGACATGTATCATATGATGTCACTGATACGAGAAATTCTTAATCTCAGGAAACAAACTGAGGGTTGTTGGAGTGGTGGGGGGTGGGAGGGATGGGGTGGCTGGGTGATAGACATTGGGGAGGGTATGTGCTATGGCGAGTGCTATGAATTGTGTAAGACTGATGAATCATAGACCTGTACCTCTGAAACAAATCATACATTATATGTTAAAAAAAAAAAGAAAAAAAAGAAGATAGTAGGAAGGGAAAAATGAAGGGGGGGAAATCAGAGGGGGAGACCAACCATGAGAGACTATGGACTCTGAGAAACAAACTGAAGGTTCTAGAGGGGAGGGGGTAGGAGGATGGGTTAGCCTGATGATGGGTATTAAGGAGGACCCATATTGAATGGAGCACTGGGTACTATACACAAACAATGAATCATGGAACACTACATCAAAAACTAATGATGTATGGTGATGAACATAACACAATAAAATAAAATTTAAAAAAAATCATATTAAAAAAAAACAACTAAGTATAGTCTAAGAAAAATGAGGGTAGAGGAGAACCTTTCCCTCTCAGGAAAGACAGTTGGGGTCATACAAAAATTGGAATAGAACAAAATGGAGAGTGAGATCAGAGTGGGGTAATGGTCCAAATACAGGCAAAGCATGATCCTTGCTTGGAAAAAGAGGGAGCTCTAGGGCTTCCCTAGGAGATGCCAGAGGGAAGGAGCTGCCTCTTGAGTAAGCAGGACCAGGACAATACCAGGAAAGGAAGATTCAGACACCTGAGAGTCCACAAAGAGGCATATATCTTCAAAGTATGTCTTTAGACATCCAGGGTCTCAAGCTCACATATTCACTGTTTGCCCTTTCCCTTTTTAGGTCTTACTGCTTTGCAACTCTTCTTTAAGGATATAGCAAATTACTCATTCCAGTATAGTCAATATAACTAATCTTTAGTAATTATCAAAAACATTGACAGTCATCACTTCATGGTTCATTTGCCCTTCTCTAGCTCACATTAATTAAAGTAGGCAATCATGGAGCCTTTGCTGGTAGAGAAAGATTTTAATGCTATTTAAAGAAAATTTTTTAAAAAGTATTCCCTTCTGACAGAAATTTGCATCCTGATATTTTATTTGTATCTTTTTTTAATGTCATGACAAGAAATAGATTTGATTTTGAAGAGGAATCATTTTGAATAATTAACCATGAATTACTCTAATTAGCAGAAAATAATTATAGGTTGGACATAAGCTCTTTCGAAAGCAAAGGATAGCATAAAAGTCTATTGGAAAAATAATACCACCTGATAGATGTTGAGATGAATCCAAAAGAGAGCTTTTCTTTGAATCAATCTTCAACTAAGGCATTTAAATGCCTCCCATTAGAAAACATTCATATTCCTGCAAGACAAAAATTATTAGCAAGCATATGTTGTCGGTTAGAGAATCTTTGGTGTAATAATTAAAGAAGACATCTTTAATGCTTCCAAAAGAAGAAAATACAGTTTCACTTGTTCTTTTCATACCACTTTCTAGATCTGAGACCTTAGATAGACTCAGCATATTTGTACACTGTATGTGGAGTTTAACATATTCATTTCCCTTGGAAAATGTTTGTCAAATGATTGACATGACAGAGTTGCACTTTTGGCTCCTGTCTCCTGAGAAGAGTTTGTGGAACAGGACATGTGGCAAACTGATGAGAAAAGGTAACAGATTCCATTTGCAATTTCAATCAGTTTCTGTAAAGACCATCAGCAGGACCTAAGTGAGAGCTCACAGAGGGGTGCAGTCCACTCAAAGTACATTTTTGAGCTAAAGACAGCCCAGAGGTGGAACCCAGGATACACATCCCAGATATGGCACCACAGATAACTAGCTAATAACAGATACTATCCATCTCACAGATTGTAATATGGTGAAAATGAAATGTGAAATTAACTTTTCAAAGTTAAAAGCAACAACAGCAAGAGATATAGTGTTATTTGGTCAAAATATAGTTTTCATATATTTTATTTTTACCAATAAAAACATACTGACACTATTAGAAATGAGAAGTATCTGGTATATGGTTGAATAAAGCATAACTTACTTTTATATGAACATCATATAGAAAAATAAATAAAATGATGCCTTAGTGCATCAAGGCATGCTTTTATACTTGTTGAGAGCTAATTATGCAAGAGTGCATCTTTACAAAGTAAATATATGGTGGCATACTAATCATTGGTCACAAATGGTCTCTTGGCATATTTCATTGTGATTTTCTAGGTTAGGTTCCAATTTAGAGAATAACATTCTTGGGACTTAAATCTTTGCTTTTTTCTGTATTGCTCTCCTGCTACCATCTAGAAGGTTTTCTTAGTTAATGAAAATAGTAAGTGAGATCAAGACTTATGCATAGAATAAATAGCTATTCCTACCTGCTCCAAAAAAAAAAAAAAATTACAGCATTCCTCCATCCTTCATCATATTATCTTTTCCCTTCTTCCCTGAAGTATTGAATCAAATATTATCTTTAGTGAATCATCATTATCACATGTTGGTTGCCTAGGAGAAGAGAAAAGCCCAAGAATCTCTTTCAGTCTTCTCACATTGGTTACTGGCATGGATTCTTTTGTTCAGTTAGCTAAAATAGTTTTACAGTGTAAGCCAGTTGTCCTTGTTTGACAAGGATTTCAGGAGAATCTCTCTAGTGGTTGTAATAGATGACTTTTAATGTTCCTTTCAACCCTAAAATGTTTTATTACAAGTAGTTCTGTGTAGCCCAGGAGTGGAATGTGAGAAAAAGGAAGGGGGATACTAAATGGAAGTGAAGAGGTGAGATCATCAAGAATAATCACACACTTAAGTTGTGCCCAGAACTGGTAGGCAAAAGCATGGATGAGAAAAGTGGACCCTGATACAATGTCTAACATGCTACATACATCCTAACTTCTTAAGCTTTACATCTATTCTTCCTGAACAGAGGAAGTAGGATTCACCAAAAAAAGATAAGATTCTTTGGGGAGGAGGAGAACAAAAAGACTGTGTATTTGTTCCTTCAGTGATGGATGGAATTTACCAGAGAATAAGGGGAGGTGGATATCTCATTCTTTAGGGGCTACTTAGATTTTCCTTGAAATCTTAAAAGCTCCAGCAACCAAGGAACTGAGCTCTGGCTTCTTGGTGACAGAATGGACTGGTGGCTAGAGAACGGGCAGAGGCTGTAATGTTTTCCTCCTAACCTTGTCCACTGGGCCTTATCCCTTATCTTCAGGGACCTCCTTCTTGTAGAATGTTCCTTCATCTGGCCTCTTACCACAGACTTAGCTGAGGGCTCTGATGCATATATGGCCACATCTGATTTCACAGAAGTAATCCTTACAGGTATGTTGGTGGGACTTCATGGTCTGTATCTGTAAGGACATAGAAATACATACCATTTACTTATGGTCAATAAATATCTTGTGGATTGGGTCAGAATGTCTTGTCATGTGGCAAATCCTAGGGGAGGCCAGGGATGAGGGCAGATTCCTAATCCTGGTCAATTAGGTGGAGAAGTTACTCTCAACTCAAGCCTCTTTTGGAATCTTAGCAGGCTCTACCCCTTGGGCTACAAGGGTGGGACCCTCGTAGTACTCTGGAGTACTCCGTGGGAGGATGAGCATGATCAGCACCATCTCTTGATGGGATTAAAACCCAACACAGGATTCTCTTGGAAGAAAATGAAAAAGAATTCTAATAACCTGGCTTTAATTTTTTTTATTACAAAATAGTGAAGTAATTAAAATGAAGAGGCATGTATAACTTCACACAAATGGATCAATGGTTAGAAGGAGTCTGAATTATAGATCATTCTAACACATATGTGTTGCCAGGTAGAAGAATCTGCTTTAATATTCAAAACAGATTAGTATTAACAGTTCTCATTCTCATATTAAAATAGTTCTAAGACTTTTAGTGCAGTTTGCCCTCTTCAATTGGCTCACCATGTACAAAAATATATAAAAGAACCAGATCAAATTATTTATCACAAATTCTTTTTAAAGAGGAATTTTAAAAACAGCTTTATTGAGATATAATTGATGATTGTATATGATAATGTGTACAAAGTAATAAGTACACATTAGTAAGTTTTCACATAATATGTATACCTTTAAACTGTCACCAGAATCAGGACAGTGAACATTTCCATCATCCCCAAGAGTTTCTCATGCCCTTTGATAATGCTTCCCTGCCTAACCCTCCCCCATTCCCAAGCAACCAGAGATCAGCTTTTGGTCACTAGAGATTAGTTTGCATTTTCTAGAGTTTTATATGAATGGAATCATACAGTAATACTCTTTGTCTGTTTTACTCAGCATTATTATTTTCAGATTCATCCCTGTTGCATGTTCATTTTTATTGTTTATTCATTAATTTGTTTTTGGACATTGGAGTTATTTCCAACTGTAGACTGTTACAAATAAAGCCACTATTAACATTCATGTGAAAATACAAATTCATATAGCTTATGTTTTTTTTAAAGAAAACATTTATTTCTTTAGAGGTCATGACCTTAACAAGGTAATATTTATAATCTATTACCAGTATATCATTACTACAAATTGGTTTTGCCTTAGGTTAACTGCATTCATTTAAAGAGCTATTTATAGAGTATTAAGTATGTATAAAGCTTTTAATGATAGCTAATATAAGAGCACAAAGATGGATAGGAGATAAAATATATAAATAATGGGAAAGCTGAATAAAGTAAATGTCATAAAAACAACAACAACAACAAATCTATGGGTTAGGGTCACAGGAATAATATCCAGTTGAAAAATAAATTCATTGAGGGGCGCCTGCGTGGCTCAGATGGTTAAGCGTCTGCCTTCGGCTCAGGTCATAATCCTGGAGTCCTGGGATCGAGTCCCGCGTCGGGCTCCCTGCTCGGCGGGGAGTCTGCTTCTCCTCCCTCTGACCCTCCTCCCTCTCCTGCTCTCTGTCTCTCGTTATCTCTCTCTCAAATAAATAAATAAAATCTTAAAAAAAAAAAAAAGAAAAAGAAATTCATTGAGAACAGGTAATTTGCTGGAGACTTTGAAGCATGGGTAGGATTTTAGCATGCGATGTTGGGAAGAAGTATGCAGTGGGAAGGAAGGAACATAATTAGAGCTTAGAGGCAAGATACGTGGGGTAAATGCTTGGACAAAGCACTCCAAATTTAATTGTAGCACAGGATCAACTCTATGGTATATTGGCAATCTCCCGTTTCCTCAGACCTCTTCTGGAATGTTTGATTCTGAACTTTGGTTTAGTTCAACAGCCATTCCTTCAGTGCCCATAGTGACAAGCACTGTGCCAAAGCAAGGGAAGAAAAGATGAAAAGGTATACACACTCTCTGCCCTCAGATCACTTACAATGGGGCAAATCCTTTCAAGTATTATGGTTATTAGAGATATGCTTGGAATGCTGTTGGATGGAGAGGAGCACCTAACCCAGCCTGTGGGGTCAGACCAGGCTTTCCAAAAGCAGGATGGTTGGAACTCAGTCTAAGTTGACCAGTCAGTGTTAGGTAAAAAAACAGAAGCAAAGGTTTTCAAGGCACTGGGAAGAAAAGCATGAACCAAAGTAAAAGGTGTGACATAACATTTGATTTTTGAGAAACTTGAGTTCAGGATTGCAGAAGCATTCACTGGAGTGGTTTCTAAGGGGTATCATTACTGCTACAGTCGTTTTGGGTTTTTTTTGCATGTCTGGTTTTTGATATGATCCTGAGGTGGGAATATAGTTTTAGGCTTTCATTGTAGGCCCACACCCTTCACCTAAAGACTTTGGAGTTACGAATGATGTTACACCTACTTATTTATGTGAAGTATTACAGTGTTATACACAGAAGTGTTCCTCCTACACTATAGTTCTGTGTTCTCTACCCTGATCTCATAATTCTCTATGTTTGAAATAAGTTTGAAGAAAGTAAATTCAAGTCAAGACTGTCCTTTTAAAATATAGGCTTATCTACAGTATGGGTATATATAACTAAATATGCTTTTCACTGGGCTACTAGTTCAGCCCACGATGATCCTGAGTATGTAAACAGCAGAAGCAGCATCAGGGTTTTATTCACCGCTCAGTTTTGTGGCAATTGTGCATCACTGTAGAAGCTCAGTCTTCATGATTTCTCATTTGTGGAGCTCTGCTCAGCTACAAAAGAGGGTACTATGTGCCGAGATGTGAAATCAGACACCACTGTGAAATGTACATTTGTAAAAGTGAAGCGCTTTATTCTTTTGCTAAGTTCTCTGATTATACTATTTATTTCAGTTTTATGACAATACAAAATGACATATGCCATTTGAAATTGTCTATACTCACCAAATATAATGGCAAATTAAAAGATGTAAAGAGTTAAGTTTGAAATGTTTCCCTCAGTTAT